CTCGGGGGAAGAGTCAGGGTCTTTGCCTGCGAGCACGTTGACAAACTGACGGTAAGGCTTGACGGCCTCCGCATCAACATAAGCAGACAGAGATTGAACGGCCGTCCAGATGAAGTGAGCCTGGAGAACATCCTCGGGTGTAGCTGCGAGGATTGCTGACAACTCCTTCAGATAGTCCGGGGTCGTAACAATGACACGCTTGATATCGCTGCCTTCTGGGGCCTGGCCTGCGAGAAGGGCTTTCAGCTCGATTTCTGGAGCGATCGCAGCCGCATCGTCGATCGAGAATGGGTTGTAAGACTTCGTGACATCATAGCGGTCTTCTTCGCTTGGAGATGCTGCTGCGAGTTTCTTTTCGAGGTCAATGATACCCGCAAACACGGCCTTGTCCTGGTCGGGGTACAACGCGCTAAGGACGTCAACAGCGACACCACGATATTTCTCAACGAGTTTCTCATCTTCGTAGCGCTCCTTTGAAGGTAGTCCAAATTCGTACGGGGCACCAACAGACACGACAACAGTGTCGGGGTCGGTGTCGTCGGCACCGGTGCCAGTTGAAACAAGACCAGTGATACCGTACTTGGCCAGAAGAAGGATAGTGTCCTTGATCGAGTTGGAGTCAGAAGCGATGGCAGAGCACGTCTTCTTGATTTCGTCAAGGAACTGCTTCAGAGGCCCAGCACCAATGCTCTTGATCTTGTCTTCGTTGAGGCACGCATCGTAAGCCGCTTTCATCTTGTCAAAGTTCTCCTCATCGGCGGGTTTGGCAACTGACTTCAACTGCATGGGTGAGAAGGATGAATGCTACGGAATGGTTAGTTTGGATTGATCTAGACAGTAGGGTTGCGCGTACCTCGGAGTCTTTGGGGTAAGGAGCCTCGAGGATGTGACGAAGCAGCATCTCTGAGTTCTCCGACATGATAGTGCCGGTAAAGGCATCACCCTGGTCAGCACGCAGGTCATGGCGGTCTCTCCAGCCACCGCAGACAAGCTCCTCGAAGTTGTCGCATGGATCAAGCTCTTTGTACTGAGGTGATAGGTTGTAGAGAATCTCTGAGGCTGCATGCACACAAGCTGGAGTCAGGCATACCTCGCTCTCCTGTGGATAGTCGCCGGTCGGCTCATAATCGACTGGACATCAATTAGTCGCGAATCAGTTGCACGTGACGAGGCACATACCCTGCGGAATTCCATAGAGTATGAGCGAAGCTGTCGCAGCGATGGCAAACAGCCTTCCCACAGCTTGACGTTTGGAGTGGCGTTGCACGTGGCGTGGCTGCACGGCCGACGCGTCTGACGCGACGAGCGGTGTCTTTTCAGCAGCCATATTGAATAGCTGAGCTGACAGTATCAAGCTGGTAATTGATGAGGATTCTTATAATGCCAGCCAGCTGGACACCGTGATGATGGATGAAGAAGAGGAGAAGAAGAGCGGAGGGTGGCGGAGGTGATAGAGTTGGCCAGAAGCGGAGTCCGGGGTGCAGCTGACGCATGTTGGCGCGGGCCGCGCTAGCACGTGCGGGACCTTGCAGATTTCATGACTCGTGTGTCCCCGACGTCATCCGACACTCTATCACCTGCTGCCTTCACCTGCCATCTTGTGTACGGTTCCAGCGACGTTATCTACTCTTACATCAGCATTTCGTTTTCTCGCCTCCCAGATTAAGCTTATTGCACCTTCACCAGGGCATGCATCCTGCACAGCAAGACAGATGATCGGCGCGCCTTCGGCTCCGGCCCGGTCAGCTCAGTTTATCGATTCGGTCCCCAGCCCCCATCACCGACTCTTATGCGGCGACATGAGCTGACTTCGATCCAAGCTTGAAGCCAATCAGATATCCTTGGAAGAGTTGTCCTGGTAACAGCGATGATCACTCATTCCAGTCGCGACTCAACATGTGGTATGACACGAATGATGGTACGAGGTAGCTTTGCTGTACGCACGAGCTTTGCGCAGATGTTGGCCCGAATACTATTATGACATTGAACAAATTTCAGTACTTCTCAACCACTTGCAACCTGAAATATGTACAGGAAAATGTTCCATCGCAGACCAACTACGATCGACGATCTACTCTCCAGAAGGTCCAGCAATCGTGGCACCTGGCCTGACTGGAGTACCAAAGTTCGGAGTTCCATCAGCGTTCCAGTTGACCTTCTGCGCCATCGTGTATCTATTACCGTCGCAGGCGCCAGTCTGGATAGCAGTCGCATGGTAAACGTTCCATATCTCAGTACCGTCGGGACTGGTGAAGAAACTGTATCGTGGTCAGCATGAATATCGCGCGGAATCAACTGGTCAACATACCCGTTGTGACCTGGCCCGTAGTTGCCGTTGGCATTGGTGAATACAGGTCCATCACTCTTCTTCCAGCTTGCGCTGAGCGCCGGGTCGCCCGAGCCGTTCCATGTGAGAAGGCCCAAGCTGTAGTTGGGTGTCCAGCAGAAGCTTGCCGAGTAAGCGATGTAAGTCTTTCCACCGTGGTACATTGCGATTGGACCTTCTTGGACAGGACTACCGTTAGTTTCCCACGACTCAGTGGGTGTAGAGAGGATCTTGGTGGCGCCGAGTTTGCCAGGCGAGGTCATGGGTGCGATGCAAAGTGATTGAAGGGCGCCGGAGAAGCAAGACCAGGTGAAGTAGTTGCCCCATTTGCTGAAACGAACGATAGAGCCATCGATACCCCAGACGTTGGTCAGTTGGGAGAGGTAGGTGTATGTGCCGAATGGGTCCGCACCACCTAAGACTGTTAGGTTACTCATCATCTACAATTTGAAACATTCTCACCCTTGAGCACATAAGGGCGCTGGTAATCCAAGTTATTGGTACCACTGCGGCCGGCAGTATAATAGATGTACCAAGCACCATCGAGGTAGTGTAGCTCAGGTGCCCACATGTTGCAGCACCTGTCAGGGTTGGTGTCAGTCCAAACGACCTTTGTCTCTCCAGTCTTCAAGCCTCCAAGCGTCTTCGCCCTAGTGATCGACAGGTTCGTCCATGTGGTCGTCATCATGTAGTAGTAGCCATTGGTGTAGGCAATGTGAGGATCTGACCCATCCGTTTGCTTGAGCGGGTTGCTGAAGCTTGCTGCGCTGACGAGGGAAGAGAGTGCGAGCACACATGTGCTGAGCGACTGGAGGAACTTCATGGCGGTGACGAGAGAGGATGAGATTCGCAGCCGGACTGGTGGTACCCAATCTTGTCGTAATAGTCCATCTTATAAGAAATCTGACATCGCACTTGGCCTTGAGCCGCAACAAGATTGAAGGTACACGCCACAACCCCAGTTCTTCCGTCCACGACTTACATTTTGTGATCATCCGACTTTCCACGAATGACCACCATGACTTCCGAGAAGCCAAGATATCTCTAGCGGAAATCTGGGGTGCAGCGCAGAAACTAGAAAGGACTAAAGGAGCGGACCGCTGGGCTCAATGTCTGTGAAAGGCTCCGATTGGTGCAAATAGCTGTCGCATCGGGCAGCCCTCCGCCCCACACATGGTCCTTCCTCATGTAGACTACGAGACTTCCATCACGTGTGTACGACTGATGCCATGTGGGGATGGTAGTGCTGTGTAGTTGTTGCAAGAAGTACACGAAGGGGTGTCGGGACTGTGAGGCTGAATGGTGACGCGCGCAAGCCAATGAGCCGCCGGGTGCCGATGTGCCGAGGTTCTTTCCCGTTTTGCGCCAAACCTCATCATCTCCTGCCTGCCATCTAACCCCATCTACCCCATACTCTAGCCATTGACACTGGCACTCTTTGGCATACCGATGCCTACTGCGGCTGTCGCGCCAGCATCGACAGGCAACACCGCACCCGTTATCCATCTTGCATGATCTGAACTCAGAAAGCTCACAGCGCATGCTGCGTCCCACCCGTTACCTTCGGTACCCAACAGGCTTCTTTTCTTTCGCGCTTCTCGGGCTTCTTCGCTCATGCCGCCAGCATACATCATGGGCGTGTATAGCATCTATATCATGTCAATTTGTTGTTGTGCAGTAGGAATGAAGAACGTACGCCAGGACAGACACAGTTCACCCTGATACCATCAGGTGCATGATGCGCTGCCATCGCCCTTGTCATATTCACCACCGCGCCTTTGCTGGTCGGATACAACAGATGCGGTGTTCCGCCCTTGAGTCCAGCGACGGAACCCATGTTGACGATGCTGCCTTTCGTTTCGCCGTCGTTCTTCTGCATAGCCGGTATGCAGTACTTCGCCATCTGCACCATACTGCTCACATTGATCTCAAGTCCTTTCGCCCAAGCTTCCATGTCGACATCAACCGCCGTTCCTAATGCACCGCTGACACCGACATTATTCACCAGTATGTCCAGCTTGCCGAACTCTTGCATTGCTTTCGCTACTGCAGCCTCGCAGTCGTTGGCCTTGGTGACATCGGCCTGAATCGCAATAGCTCTTCCGCGATGTGGTTTTGACGCTGCCATTTCCGCTGTCTTCTGAGCCCACTCCATGTTCAGATCCAAACAGAGGACATGACAGCCCTCATCGGCCAGCATGATCGATATCGCACGCCCGTTCCCAATTCCATCACCATCGCAACCTGCTCCTGTTACAATCGCGACTTTGCCTTTAAGGCCACGTGACGGGGGTTCAGACGGCACTGTAGCCATTGTCTTCGACCTAGGTAAATGACGTTATTCCGACTGGTGTTCGCAGATGACAATTTGGCTTATTCAGTTCAGAAGCAGACGCACGTAGTTATCTCCGAGCCAAGGATTCCAAAGTCGAAGCGACTAAGTTAATGATGGTGCGCCGACAACAAGCAGCTCCAAAAAAGCAAACATGGTGTTGGTGGCATGCATGTGAGGACCTCGGTACATTGCGGGGTGACGCTAGCGACCGGGCGCAGATATGACGAAGGGGACTTGACGCGTCAATGCTAGGCTCGTACGAAGTTTTGCTACACCTCGAATACATATCTCTTCAAGCCTTCCACTCAAGGCAACAATATCTTTCTCATCAAATCGACAATGGACTTCTCTCAGTACGGCGGACCATCCGACGAATGGTTGGCAGTGGAAAAGACACTGCCCGCCCGGACTTTCGACATCTCGCTGGATCCAATCGTGCTGCGGAATGCTGTTAACACTGAGAGGGAAACACGCTCTGCAGAGGTGATGCCACTTCTTGCTCCCCATGTCCAAGTCAAAGATTACGCCATTGCGACCCGCGATGGCTCAACCATCGAAGCTCGAACCTATCGATCTGTGAAGAAGGATGCATCCGAGAAGCTTCCTGTATACCTGTACTTCCACGGTGGAGGCTTCATCTTCGGTAACACGTTTGGCTTGTGATGTATCAAGGTCTGTTGGCTGACGATGAGACAGGATCGCTGAGTAGCGAGGACCCGCTATGTGCGCAAACCGCGATCAAGACTGGGGCTCTGGTGCTGAATGTCAACTACCGCCATACACCAGCACACATCTTCCCAACCGCCTGGAATGACACTCATGACGCATTCGTCTGGCTGCACAAGAACATCGACATGCTCGGAGGCGATCCATCTCAAGTCGTCGTCGGTGGCATCTCAGCAGGCGGCAACCTAGCTGCTTCCCTGACTCTAGAGCAGCACCTTGGAAAGAGCGAAGACATCGCAGGTCTACCCACAATAGCCGGCCAGATCCTAATCATCCCAATGCTCGCCCACCCAGCCACCTACGACCAAGGGCCAGGCAAGCTACTTAACCCCTCAACCTCATCCTACGTTGAGAACGAAGATGCACCGGTTTTGCCGAAGAAAACCATCGACTTCTTTACCAAGCTGCTGAAGATTGGGGATGTAGATCTCAAAGACACGAAGATGAATGTTGTCAATGCGACGGAAGAGGAGGTCAAGGGTTTTCCTCCTACGGTGTTTGGTATCGCGGGCTTGGACCCCCTACGTGATGAGGCACTGTTGTTTTCGAAGAAGCTGTCGGAGGCTAATGTGCCCACTTCTACTACGCTTTTCAAGGGCGTGCCGCATGGCCATAGGCGGTTTGGGAAAGCGTTGAAGGCGTCTGAGCATTGGGATCAGTGTGTTGATGAGGGGATACTTTGGGTGCTTTCGAAACCGGAGGCTACGGGGAAATTTGACGTGAGAGTACCGTAGTGCTCACGCGACTACAAGGGGATTGCTATATCCATTCGGGATGTTTCCATGTTGTACGTGCCGTGTGAGCCTGCCATTGGTCTCGTTCTTTTTTCAGAGCCTTAAGCTTCGCTCATTAGAATATGTTGCTATCCTGTTGTAATCCCATGTTTTAAGCGATGACATGTGCTTTGCCCTGCACTTGTAATTTGTGACAAAGCGATGAAGAAATCCGTCTTTGTCATTGGTCTCGTATAGGCGTCCAATGAGCTCGAACCGCTTAGCTAAGAGGCACAAGACACGTCGCACTTACCCTTGCCCAGCCTCGACCTTGTCAATGATACAAACGTGTGCCACACAATAATCATTATTATCTAACTACTAGCGACGCTAGTCACACACCAATGCGGCTCCTTCATATTGTGTCCAATGACACTCCCAATCCTACTCTACAGATCTCGTTCGCCGAGTTTGTAGGAAGCAACGTCCCCCCATACGCGATCCTTTCACACCGATGGCGCGAGCAAGAAGTTCTGTACGATGACATGATAGCTGCGGACCGCAGCATTGCACGCAGCAAGAAAGGTTACGCGAAGCTTGAGATGACGTGCCGACTTGCGCTCGTATACGGCTTGAGCTATGTCTGGAGCGATACTTGCTGCATCGACAAGAGTTCCAGCGCCGAACTATCAGAAGCCATCAACTCGATGTACAGTTACTATACCCATTCAGCGTGGTGCATTGCATACTTGGACGACGTGGAGCTCGATGAAACACAGCCCGACGACTCTTTCGGAGCTGGTCGAATTCTCTCCAGATCAGCTTGGTTTTCAAGAGGGTGGACTTTACAGGAGTTAATCGCCCCGCTCAGGCTGACCTTCTACACGAAGAGCTGGAACAAAATCGGCACAAAAGCTGATTTGTGCCGTCAAATTTTCATAGCCTCCAACATTGCTGAGGAGGTTCTAAGAGATCGCGGGAGAATCAGTACCGTGGGCGTATCGGAGAAGATGTCGTGGGCGGCGAAAAGAGTTACTACGAGACCAGAAGACGAAGCGTACTCCCTGATGGGCATCTTTGGTGTCAATATGGCGACTTTGTACGGAGAGGGTAGAAGCAGCGCGTTCAGACGACTGCAGCTCGAGATCCTGCGGACAAGTACTGACCATTCTCTTTTCGCCTGGCAGTCGGAGACAGTCAACGGCGACATGCTAGCGCCAAGTGTGTCGTGCTTCGCCAATGGGGCAAACTACGAACCATGGGGGTATCCGCCCAATCTGATTGGTTGTCTAGACCTGATGCCAGATTACGACATGACAAACGCGGGACTTCGCATACAGCTGCCTTTGAGAGGTGAGCCAGAGTACAAAGGGCTATACTCTGCAATTCTGGCATGCAGGCACAAGCTTAACCCTGAGTTCTTTGTTGCCATATACATCAGCCGACTCGGCGGGTCTTCGAATTTCCCTCGCTTTTGTAAGGAAGTCTATTTTGGTGGAACCCTGTGCCTTTCACAGCGACCGTGGTTGGAGAATGGATTACCGTATGACTTTGGGTCTAAGCCAATATGGATTGCAGGCGAGAACCATCTACCAAGACAGCCCTTGGAGGTTGAATACCCGCTCATTGATTTAGACTCGTCGTAGTCGCTAGGAATGTCTGCGGCTGGATTCGCGGTAGTGAATAGTGTACGTTTCGTTACTAAAAGCTTCATCACGACGTCAATATGAAACCGATGTGGAAGTCGTAATGCGGTGTACCTAGATAGTTGTCTACGAGCTGAATGCGCTCAGTGTTTAGCAACAAACTCCAACACACCCTTCACAAATGCCTCAGGGTTCTCTTCAGCGATGTAATGCGCCGCCTTCTCAATCGTCACCATCTCTGCACCTTCATGATATTCGTTCGCCATACCCTCCGCAGACTGCGCCAGCATAAACTTCTCCCCATTAATAAGCATCGACGGCACCTTGACCTTCCCATATTCAGCAACCCAAGTCCTATTTTCCTCAGAGTCCTTCTCAAACGCACGATAAACTTCCAAGCCCGCCCTAATAGCACCAGGTTGCGAATATGCCAGGGCATAATGCTCAAGATCGGCGGGCGAAATGGCCGCACTGTTATACGAGATCTTATCGAAGAAGTGCTTGAGATACTCCCGCTCTTTGCCCGCGATCAGGAATTCTGGGAGATCCGGCACTTGGTGAAAGACAAAGTGGAAAACGTCGGGAGTGCCTTTGACATTCTCATAGCACGAAGTACCAGGTAGTGGACATTCACCCCAAATAACACTAGCGACATCATCGGGATAGCGTGATGCATACGCGAACGCAATCATCCCACCGATGTCATGTCCTACAACATTAATCTTGTCCTTGATGCCAAAGTGCTCTTGAACCAAGATGTGCAAGTCCTCCGCCATCTGCGTCTTCTGGTAACCCGTTAGGGGTTTTGAGGACTGTCCGGCGCCACGATAGTCGGGCGCGATGACGCGATAGCCGGCCTTTGATAGCGGCGTGATCACATGCCGGAATTGGTATGATGTCTGAGGGAAGCCGTGGATGAGAAGTATGACGCCTCTTTTTCTCCTCAAAGGTTCTGGTGCGCATTCGATGTAGTTTAGACGAATCTGTTCGTTGGATGTGGTGGTGATTGACGCGATTCGTTGGTGCCAGCGCGAGCTGTCGATGGCTGGGGATTGCGGGAAGGCCATGATGGATTGATGATTGAGAAATAGCGGGTCTAGTAGGAGGTAAAGAGGAAATATATGTATCCGTTGAAACGCATGCTCTCAGAGAGGTCGTGAAATGATTAGTAAGGCATGACGCTCTCGCAGCGTCATAGCCAGCCTCGAAGCGTGCGTAGTGGAGTTGTAAATATTATCGGTATTCTGTCCTACCTTATCCGACGACTTCTTCCTAGAAACTTGGTACGCTTCTTGGCTTATAGATGTCTTCCTTAGGTCGAAGCACTATGGCGATTCAGGCGTTGTGCTTGGGGTGATGGTCTTGGAAGCTATTCCGTTCCAGGCCTAGCTCCTCCAGTGTTGATATTTCGACAATGATCTCGTTATACAGAATGGCCATTGCAATGATACCTGGATTTCGATATGCTTTATCCGACGGATAATCGTCTACGAAGCGCAGTCTATTGGCCGTTCGGTGTTGGTCTGTAAGACTTCTACCGGCCATTGGGGAGTGGCGCCTGATGCCAGCTTCGCGGCGACGGCAATTCGAAGTGTGCAGTAGTTCGTCCGGTAACCCGTCTCTTATCTCCTGGAAGGTATATCCGCTATCCGGGTTTGATGAGCGGCTCCATCTCTCTTCATGTCTCGGATATCTTGAGTCAGGCCGAACGCTATCCTGTGCGCGATTCAGTCAGGATGCCGAATTACATGAGCATGGAACCCAAGAGGGTAAAGAGTAGATTTAACAGAGAGAAGCATTGACGCCTTGTGGGAGCAAGAATGAAGGATCGGGATTAATGGAACTCCTGAAGATGCGCATGCGACACGCTAGAAGGGTTGCCCCACCCTTTGCCGTCTTTGCCTGAGATCGGCCTAAGGATCCTTGTCGAGATGACCAATGAAACCGCGCTTGGGTTGATGCCATTCTGCCGGAGACGTGCAGCTGCGGTAACGTCTGTCGCACGTCGTTCGTGTATCAACGCCAACTGTATCAGGCCAGTAACATGGCGAAATTCACCCCCGCAATGCCGCAACTTTCCTCAGGTGCGAAAAGCAACCGGCGCGTATCGTAGTAATCAGGACGGCGACATGGCGATATATAAGGCCGCAGGGGATGGCGATGCATCCAGCAGTAAACCCATCATAACCTCTTACGCCTCAAAATAACCAAAACCGACAATGCCGACACACGGAGAGAGGAATCTCGAGCTCGGGAACCAGGCGTATGCTGCTTCCTTCGACCAGGGCCATCTAGCACTACCACCCAGTCAAAGATACACCATCGGTACGCACCTGCAACCACGTTTCCAACCATCTCCCGCTAACATGACGCGTCAGTAACATGTATGGACGCGCGCATCGATCCAACTGCCGCCTTTGGTATCCCTCTCGGAGCCGCCCACGTAATTCGCAACGCCGGCGGCTGTGTACACGACGCGTTCCGCTCCATCGTCATATCGCAACAACTCCTCGGTACAAGAGAAGTCATCGTCGTAAAGCACACCGGATGCGGCATGCTCACATTCGACAACCCGACTGCGAAAGCTGTGGTTATGAAGAAGAGGGGAGAGATAGCCGCGAGAGAGGTGGAGACCCTCGACTTCCGGCCTTTCCGCGATCTGGAGATACAAGTCAAGAAGGATATACAATGGCTCAGGATCAAAGCGATCGAGGAGAACATTCGGTTCAGTGGGTGGATCTACGATGTCGAGACGGGGAAGACGACGAGAGTGGTGTGAATTGCTTGGAAGATTCGATTGAGCTTGCGATATACCCATAATAATGTAACAACATCTTGTGAGTCTTGCCTGCCAACGTACACATCAGCCCAGGTGTAACTATCGTGATGTGGAGTTGTCGGTATTCCCTGGCGCCTGCCTAGGTGTGTAACAGTCACTAGGTACCTTCCCTCTTATGAGTTAGCGTCGTGGCAGCCTAACGCCCTGTCAACTTCCACGACGCCCTTTATCTCTGCGCTCATGCAACAACAAACCTCAATTTCATCGCATTCACTCATTCACACGCACTTCAAGCAGCCAAATACACTGATCGACCATGAGTTCCAAAAACACGTCGCTTGAGGGCTTACCAGATGAGCTGGTGCAGGAGATAATCACACATCTCGACGCCATTCGCTCTTACGACACGCTATTCAGGTTCACCGAACACCAGAAAAACGTGGCGATAGAGGCAAATCGTCAATCCGACAATCATATCCGCAGGCTGGCCTTGTACAGTCTCTGTCTGACATCTCGTTGGCTAAGGCGAATGGCTACCCCAATCCTGTACGCCTCGTTCATAGGGACCGCCACCGAGCATGGCACCGAACCTCTCCAGCTGTTTCGCGAAAGAATCTTAGGCTCCTCTGACTCGGGTGAGGAACTTAACAAGTATCTGAAGTACGTGGAGGTTCGACGCATGGACAAGAAATGCCAGAACGACAGCACACCCCCGCACACCATTGCACAACATTACCTTACCATGATAGCCGACGTTGTCAAACAGGCGATCAACCTACAACACTTGTCCATCGAGAATATAGAAGACAAAGACCGATCCTTCTGGAGACACTTTGTCCCTGGACGGGAAACAACGCTTTCGGCTACGCCGAACCCAGGAGCCCAACATGTTTTTAGCAAGCTTCAAACATTGTGCGTCAATACGACTCTCCAACACTACGGACTCAACGCCGAAACCATCTCGTTTGATCAAATTTGTTCCGTGGTATCGACGGCGCCCATGCTCACTGACTTTCGAGCGCGTAGCGTCGTGGCACGATCGCCAGCATCGATGCCTCAGCTTGGCTCATGGAAAACGCTGCAGCGCCTCGAAATCGCCTCATGTCGCCTCGAGATAGAGGCGATGGCCAGTATTCTATCAGCATGTGAAGGCTTAAGACATGTTGTTTGTACATGGATGCCTATGGAGGATTTTGAAGGGTCGCCATCCGACCTGTACGCCAGCCTTTTACGTCACGCGGACACGCTTGAATCCCTACATTTTGATCTTCGTGAAATCATATTCCGATCAGAGGAGGAGGCCTCGGACTCTGATTTGGACGAAGATTACGTAGAGATGGTACCGCTCAAACCTCTCGGCACTCTTCGACCATTCAAACGTTTGAGCAAGTTGGTTATATCTCAGAACTGCTTGCTCGGTGCTTCTGCTCCGTACGCTGATTTTTCGAGGAACGCCCCCCCAATAGCCGAGCTGCTATCGCCATCCCTCACAAGCTTCACGATGCTGATTGGGGTTGAAAGCCGATATCGGGTGGGATACAAGAGCTTGGATAAATCGACTGTCCTGCGGGATTTCATCGCGGAATGCAGGATATCTGATCTGAGCTTGGAAGACGTGAGTTTCCAAGCTGAGTTCGAGTTGTCTGCGGCGCCCAAAACTACGAGGACGTTCCTTGACATTGGTGTGCGTTATGAGCAAGTATTAGAGCGGTACTGGGTCCACGAAGCCTTCAGGTAGAAGTTGTCAAATGGCTATACGCTTTGCGTACTGTAAATCGTTGAGAACACGATAGTCGGTGACAACATCAGGTACCGAAAGACGCGACATGCGTACTGGAAAGCATCAAACGACACTGTCAAACGCAAACATCGGGTTATATTAGCCAATGTCCTCCTAGTAGCCAAGCTCCGGTGACGTTGCGCGACGCGCATACGGACATTCATTGGGACAGCTTATGTGGGCCTACATCCATAGCACCGCCGTCGATCTGACGACGTGATCTGGCCTTTACTTACCTGAGTGGTGGCCATTGCGGCCATAGACCTTCACGTACTAGCGCCCCTCACCAGGCAATCTATATCCATATAAGTTTGATACTCCTCTATACTTACACTTCTCTATCCTCCACCTTGATCAGGCATCGTGTCGACACCACCTCATTGACCTTACTTACTCGATCACTCCTTGAGCCAGTCCCACAACAGCGGCACCGTTTATCTCGACACTCAATTACAACAAGCCATTGAGTACTAACAGTCCGAGCAACCGCATCAGCAGATAGCCGCCAACATGACGACTTCGAGCGACCAGGCCACTGATCTAGACGTCGCGTCGCCCTCAGACATCAAGACAGCCGCTGCGCATACAGAGACACACGATGAAGAGATCCATAGTGAAGAGAACAAGTTGGACTTTGATCCTTCACCTGTAGTGTCTAAGGCCTCTGCGTCTGAGATCGAGAAGCCAAATGGTACCCAAGACCAAGTCGCTATCGAAGATTCGACAGATGTCAAGACCACGACTCTTGGTTCCCCCTTCCCCTCACCCAAGCTTATTGCGGAAGACAACAAGAGTGTTGCCTCTCTTGAAGATGGAGAGATCATAGAGCAAGACCTTGAAGGCGCAGTCGGAGCGAGCTCTGTGACTGTGCAAGAGCAACAAGAGCAAATTGACGAGAAGGCGGAGTCGAAGCTTGGTATGCCTCACTACTATCACGAAAGTTATCTGCTAATGTAAAGAAAAGAATCTCCACTCGCCAAGAAGGAAGCTCCTATGGCATCGCCCCCTGGACTGCATGTGGAGACCACCAAAACCGACGTTGACACCGGAACCGAGGACAGCGACTGCAAGACCGACAGAGACGCGAACATTGAGGCGCCGAAGCCTTCAAGGCCAGCTCATAGTTTACCTCCACACATGCGTCCTGACTTCCAGTCCCCTCCATCCCGCCTTTTCGGCCTTCCAGACCCGAGGGTAAGCAGCTCTATAAGCCTTTGAATGTATGCAAAACTAACATATACAGCACATGATGTCGCCAAACGAGGCCAATCGATTCAACGATGCTCCGCGCGCCCCTCGCTCCCACTTCAATTCCCACGGATCCCGAGGAGGCGACCACGGCGATCGCGAGCAAATCGTCCGTATGAACGCACAAGTCATGAAGCTGAAGAACGAACTCGATGCCGAGCGCAACAAGGGCGTGCGTCTCCGCAAGTCTATCGAAGCTGAGCAGCAACAAAAGGTCGAAGCAGCCTCATCCGTTATGCTGACGAACCTCCTCCGCGACCAAGCCACAACCCTGACGCTCAAGTCCAAAGTCGAAGCCCGAGAGCGCGACCTAGATGAACGCGAGCAGAAAATTACGCAGCTAGAAGTCTACCTCACCGAAGGCCAGAAACAGCTCATGTACGCGCTGGAAGAGAACGGCGATAGACCGATGAGTGCCGTGCAGATGGAACATGCGCGTCGCGAAGCCGAACTCCATGCGCAGAAAACCATGGCTGATATGAACGGAAAGTTGAACATCAAGATCGAAGCCCTCCGTCTCCGCGAAACGGCCCAACAGATGCGCGAGCAGAACTGGAAAGCTATTGCCCGCGAGCAACTCGAAGCTGAATTCGCCGACAACTCCATTACCCATGAGAAGGCTGATGAGGTTGCGGAAGAGGCGTACAACGACGGGTTTGGTGCGGGCAAAGAGGCGGGCCGTAAAGAAGCACTCCAGGAGTCGCACCAGCGCGGATTTCTCGAGGGCTATGGGGCGTGTCATCGTACGCAGGTTACGCTGAGTAAAGTGCGCCAGGGTCTTATCGCGAGGGATGATCCGGAGTTGGACTTCCTGTATGATGCCAATCATCCGCATAACCTCTACACCATCGGTTCCCTCCTCGGTCGCATGGAAACTGAGAACAGCAACCAAACGACTGCGAAGGCTGTTAGTCAGAAGCAGATCGTTGCTGAGAAAGCAACCCCCGTACCTGATAAGAGGATCGAAGCTGCTGAGGAGACTCCGAGGACGGATGGCAAGGTCAACGGCCACACCAACGGCCTCAACAGCAATCACACCAACGGCATCAACGGCCATACTAACAGCGCCATGATCCACAGGCGCGAAGAACCAGTCAACAAAATGCTTCCTCCCCGCCCGACTTTCGCCGCTGAACTCCGCGGCCCCTCACTCACACACAACGGACACATTGTTCTCGCTAACAACGTTGCGTCGCCTGTTGCCAAGGAGACTGGTCGTCCCATCATCAAGTACGAGGATGAGGGTGTGAATCTGATTGATCTTATGTAGGGGATTATGATTTGGATGGATTATGTGGGATGGGAGGAGGAATTCCGAGGTCGTTTGATCGGATGGGGTTTGACTATGGAGATGAGCGGAGGCAGGAGATCGATCTAAAAGCTTGCGTTTACATTATTGATATGGGATTGAATGATAGCAGTCGGAGTTCTGACATATGGGATGATAGTAGGGATATATATGATTGATCTAGAGTATGTATGCGAGAAGTGATACAAGACTATATCAGCACGTGCTCTAGCTTCCTCGTGTCAGTGTTGACGACTCCAGTATATTTTTATCTCTCACTTTTCTGCTTAGACTATGTTGAATCTCTCCCGCCCGTCTATCCTTAATACTTTTACATCCGTCTACCACACGTCCTAACACCTCATTCTACCGTCTACACCGCCCTCAATCCTGCATAACACTCCACCCCTCACCCCTACCCCTTCCACCAAATCCCCTCCCACCCCTAAGAACACGCCCATGCCCCCTCTCCCCCAACATCTTCCCCTGCGACGCCTCAACCTTGCCAAACTGCTCCGCCTTCTCCTGTGCCTCGGCCGACAACTGCGGTTCATTGCTCTTCGCCTCCTTCTTCTCGTCCCCTGCATCAGCGCCCTCCCCATTCTTAGCAGGCCACTTCTTCGCAAAATCCTGCGCCCCACCCCCAACAGCCCTCATCTCTTCATCCACCACCCCATCCTCCCTCGCCGCATACTTTCCCACAATCTGCAGCAAATCCTTTTCACCTTGACCCTCCCTCTGCTTCTTCCACGTGTCAAACTCATCCCACCACCACCCATGCGTCACCCCGTCTTTACCCAAGTATCCCGCTTTACCATCTCCGTCCAGCCGTGCCACCCACGGCTTATCCACGATATAGTGCAGCACAGCGACCTGGTCGTCGCGCCAGATATTCTCATGCCAGTACCGCCACGTCTTGAGCGCATTCGTTTTCCAGCTCAAACTGCTCCAGCGCCCATCGAAGGCTTCGTTGAGGAAATCCTGATCGGGGAATTTCATAGCGCGGAGTTTGGTATTGCCCAATTCCTCGAACTTGGCCAGCACGAAGGAAGACAGTTCCCTGCTAGGCCGATAGAGAAAAGTGCCAGAGTTGAAGTTGGACAATGTGTACGGTTCCGGATTAACCTCTGCTAGCTGATCCGGTGCGGTGAGTTTGGCAATCGCGCAGTTCTGCGGGTTCCATTCCGCGGGGGCCCAGGAGTCGTGGTCGAGGTTGCAGACGCAGGTGTGTACGGCCATTGTACGCATGCCATTCCCTCCATTCAAATACTCGTCGTTTTCTTCGTTGAAGATCAAGGGCGAAGGGTTCGAGAAGATCATCATATCAGCATCTAACCAACATATCCTCTCAAACCCCCCTCCAGGCATATCCCACAGATCGAAAACACGCAGTTTCGTCCATGTATCGATGAAGCGCTCGGCGACCATGCCGTGTTCGGTTCCATCTTCTGGCAGGCGGAGGTGTTCCACGGGGTGGAGGATGATGTTTGAGTAAGCGGCTTCGGCTTTGAAGGCGTTGATGCAGGTTTCTGGTAAGGTCTCCGGTGTGTAGGTTATTATGAGCGGGGTGGAGGGGGAGTGTTTGTGCAGGGTGTAGGCGAGGAGGATTGCGCCGGCTAGGTAGCTTGGACGGGTGAGGAGGGTTACGTAGGCGTTTTTGCTTTGAGGGGCAGTTTGTTGGTCTGCCATTGTGAGTACCGGAGTGTTCTGCGACTCGGAGCTTTTGTTGGTATTGGTGGTTCAGGGGGATACCGGCAGGGATATTGAAAGGTACATGTGGTTGAGAGGTGTTCACAGGTCCCACTATGGCTCTGACGTCACGACTCAACAATCCGAGGCCGGAAGGCACAACGCTTGTTATCAGTATTAGGATATACACAATCTGATGCGGAATGAGAAAGATGGAAATTTGATGTTACAGGTTCAAATTACGGGTATCTCAAGAATCCTACGTCGCGACAGCCACTCCTACGTACACCAATCGTACAATCCCCTAAAACTGCTTCCCATCCTCTTTCGCCAGCGCCTTGCCCCAGGCACTCTCGAACGGATCGTCTGACTTGACCTCCTGTGCATCCTGTAAAGCTGCAACCTCAGGCACCACGCTCGGCGCTGTTAGCTCGACAGGAGCAGGAGCAGATTGACTCAACGCAGCAGCAGCCTCTGGGCTTTCGTACTCGAAATTGCTGGAGTAGACGACAGCAGCGAACGCCTCAAGACCACCAACAGCTTCGATAGCAGCTAGGTACTCATTGTTGGCTCCGGTACCGATGCTGTGCGCTTGTCTGCAGAATACGGCTAAGCTGTTCGCGACCTTGGCCTTGATGTCGTGTCCAACAATCTCCTGCACACGAGCGTGATTATCAGAGATGGGCGGGATCTTGTAGGAGAGCTGTGAAATCTTGACGTCGACGAGGTGGGAGAAGGCAGCGTCGAGGAGCTGTGTGAGTACATGTGTGAAGGCAGGCGAGTCGATGAGGTCAGAGGTTTCGTCGATAAGGCGGCGGAGGGAGGTTGTTGTTGTGGGCGATGTGGACTCGGAGGATGAAGTCATGCCGGATTCGCGGAGGACGTAGTCTTCCTGGTCTTGCGGTGGGAGGAGGAAGGTGAGCCACTTGCATGTTCTATGAGGGGTTAGCGGGTGTCATTTGAGATGAGATGGGTTCCTACCTTCGCTCTTCCTCTGTTGCACCTTCGACCCTCTTGCGCACTTCGAGGGTAAGTTCGGACAGTCTCTCCAGAGTCATCTCTTCTCTGGGGTTCACAAGGCCGAAGACGTCCTTGACTGCGGTCCGTACCTTCTCGATAAGCTCTATGCATCCCTTGTGTAACAGCCACCAGCTCAAGCTGAGGTATCTGCGGTTCGTCTCGAAGTCGTTGCCATATGCTTGCTCGAAGTTGTCGTCGTCGTTGTTCTCCAAGTTGATCCTTGCGCCTTCGGTTGTCGACTGCGGCGCGGCTAACGACACGACGGAGGCGAGGTAGTTTCGGCGGCCAAGAAGGTTTAGTTGAATACGCGTAAGAAGCGTGAGGAGAGAGAGGGTGTAGATAAGGGTGAAGGCGCGTGTTATGGCTGGTCGCGTCAGTATGTCAAGTCTCAAAGCCAACATGACGGTACTCACAGCTGATCTTCATCTCGCTCCAGAGCTGCGCCTTGCTCTTCTTGCTCTTCCTATCCTCCCTGACCTCTGGGATGGCATCGGTAGGGCCCGTGCTGCTGTCACCCTCAGTAGCGATCTGGCTGGCATGGATGAAGCTATCCGTCTGGAGACTCGAGCTCCGAGCGTCATCCTCGGTCGTGTCTGCTACACTCGGGGGCGCTGAACTGGCAATCTCGCTGGGTCCGACACTCCGCGACAGGCGCTCTGCCTTTTGTCTCTGCAGCTCTTCCAGCACCTGTTCGACGGGAATGGCGTCCAGTATGTTCTCGGTCGCGGTGGGCAGGATGGCGAGGACGGTGAAGGTGCAGTCTTCCTGGTTCTGCTCGAAGCGGCGGCGTAGACTGCATTGTCGTTAGAGCATGTCATGTGATGGACACGGTGTAGGCGGACTTCTCTTTGGCGATGCGATCATCGCTCATGCGCTGCCTCGCCTCCCCGAGCTTGCCCAGGACATACTGCCCCGCCAGGTAACCCGCGCCGAGCACTCCGGCGCCGATGGCAAAGTTTGTGCGGTTGCGCCTGAGCCAGCGACGCGTGCCCTGTATCATGGTGATGGTTGAGAGGGCTATGCAGCCCGCGTACTCGGGGGTGGAGCAGGCGTCGCGTGTGGGGAATCTCGGAACACGACCAGAGATAACGCTGCGTTCCGGGAGGTCACGGGTGCGTCAATGCGGCTATGCGTAGCGTGAAGGTCGTCGTAGTCCAATTAATCGTGTCGCGGTAACGTGTATGCCAGATGTGCAGTCGTGAAAGAGCAATGTTGGCGTTCAGCTTCCAGCGCATGCGAGGTTGGTGTCCGGTTGCACCAAGCCTTCGTGATTGGGCCGAGGTCCATTGCCCTTTCGGGATAGGAAGCCCTGGCCGCTTTCCCCCAGAATGTTGTCATCACCAAACCGCTTTCAGTAATCCGAGTCCCACACATGCTGCAACAGTTAAGCTGTGCTTCATCATGGGAATTTCCTAGTGAATCAATGTGTTTAGCCACTCAGGTCAAGTGTCCAAGAAATAGTTGCATTTCGAATTGGATGAATACAGTAGCAATGCATTCCTCCTCCGCTATGGCTCATTGTAGCCTGTGTTCCGCCTATCACAGTCGCAAGCTCCAGCATCCGCAGCGAATGTATTGAGTTGGAAACTCAAAAAAGAAGCAACATGATACATCAAATCGTAAGGCGTGTCGTATAATCGTTATCGTTAAAACGTATGATATGTTTATCAAGCGAGCGTTGTCGCTGTTGGTGTCGTTACTGTTGTCTCGGGAGTATCAGGAGAAGAAGTCGTGCTCGTGATTGGAGACGATGCCTCTGAGCTGGATGGCGTGGCTGATTCTAGTGTTCTGTAAAGACCGTCAGAAATTGTGCGCAGTATGAGGTGTTGTTTCGTTCGCTTGGCCGTGAGAAAGAAGAAGCCGGTCTGGACGTTTGCTAGGTATATCTAGCGACATGACAAAGAAAACCGTAAGCGGATGTGGATGGTAACGTCCTACCAAAATGAAGACAAGGCGGATTCCACAGCGAGCATGCAAACCGCATACTAGTAGTACTAAGCCTACTAGTCACGACGGCAACACGACGCTGGACCAAAGCCTAAAGGAGAAACCGGTTGGCCGTACATAGTTTGGTGAGAGGAGACATGGTGAACGAAAAGCAAACGGATGGAGATCGAGCGATGCAAACATCTTCATCATCGCGTTAGCTGCTTACTTTTAGTGCATAAACGTACCCGTGTGAAACGAGAATACAAAGTCCCCTGCATGGCAGCATTCCCCTCTCCCCCTCAGTTCCTGGTAACTAAGGCTGGAGTAGTAAACCTTGGTCAGGCTATCATGATCCTTGCTAGCGGCTCTTGCACCCTCGGAACAACGATGGAGCTGGATGTGCTGGTCGTCGAGATTCTGTCCGTGGGTTGAGAGCCAGGGAGTCGATCCTGCAGTGGACATGACAAACAAAGGAAGCTTCTTGCATGACAAGAAGCATGCGCAAGATGAAAAGCTGTGTAGAGCACAGACTCTATACGTACAACGGCTCCACGATTCGGTGAGCTACAACCCTAAAATACTTGGATCTTCTGGTGGCCACAAGTTCCCAGACTATCGAACGGGGTATCGAGAGCCTTTGAGGCGTATTCATAAGTAAGGTCGATCGTCATTATGGCTTGATGAATGGCAGGAGACCCTAGATGCTCGCAGAAGGTCACCTGGGATTAGCCTCACCAGATAAGTAGTCCATGGATTGGTTCCAGGACGGATCAAACAAATTCGGTGGATATTGTACCTCTCTTGGAGAGAGGCCTGGAAAGGTTGAGAACGAAGATGGGGCGCCATTCTGGTCCAGTGGATCGTGGTAGCCACAATGATCAGCCTGGAATGTCTGTGGCTCAACGAACGAGGTCTCGTTGCTCCATGGATCGTCCTGGCTGGGCTGTGGAGCCTCTGTGTAATGCCCAGTCACATGGGAGGTTACGTACCCCGACATCCCTGATCGACTACCATCCTGCATCTCATGCACCCCCTGAGTCCATTGCGGGCTGCCGGGTACTGTGTTCGACTGTGTTGTTGGTGACGTTCGAAGAGGCGTGCGTTGCTGCTGCGAAAGCTCCTGGGTCTGCTGGTGAATGCGAGCAGGTTTTTCATCGTTTGAGGCTGTCATCGACGCCGGGAGTGTTGCGTCAAGTCTTGCAACAATGTCTTAGCATCCTGCCTGCGAACGCCGACTCCTACCATGATCTCTTACCTCTGCGGAACGGCCTTTTCCTCCTGCAAAGGTTTTGCCATCGATAACAGGTTTCCAATGACATGGGTACACTACGCCTTGTTAAACCTGCCCTATTATCGCATCAACTCGTTTCATACCTTGCCCTTTTGTCGCTTACACTTATCACAAGCACCGGCCTTTCTCGTAGTCTTGTAAGCGGATCGTTCGGCGGGTGTCATCTTGCGCTTCTTTTTCGGCTGCATTGCAAATCCATCCACAATACTGAACACGTGTTGTTGGCCAACCCCGATCTGTGGTGTGTGATCATCTAGTTGCACAGGAGAGCGATATGAGCTGCTCCGTGACAGCGAAGGCGACACGGCCCTTCGATGCTTGAACTCTGCCAGTTCTTCGAAACCTGGCCTAGAAGCATCAAGTGCTGATAGTGCCTGGGTCTCACATAATGTTCCTGTTGTCGACTCTGTTGACTCATGTTGCATCGACTCCAGTTCAAGCCTTAGAAAGTCTATGGCGGCCATATGTTTGCGCTGCCGCAAAGTCTTGCACTGTGGGTACTGTTCTTTCAGGAGCTCGTGTAGGGCATCTGAGTCAACTGGCTGGGTAAATTTCATGCCTGCCCATGGCGGACTCGCGTCGCTCGTAGGCTGTGATCGCTTGATGGGTCTCATTCTTGTTCTCAGCTACGTTCAGTATCAGCGGCATGCAGGCATAAGAGTCTTTGTGTGACCATACTTGGAAGGGATGATCATGGTTTGAAGGTCGAATTGTGATCGTGGTGGGTTTCAAGAGGAAACCGGGTGTGTAAGTAGCAGGCCGGTGTGGCCAGGGTGTGTAGAGTCCAGATCCTCAGGCCACGACAAGGTATATAGAGGAGATGCGAATAGTCGCACGGTGTCTAAACACAGTCAATTGGTTATTGGCCGGCCATAACGGAGTCCTGAATAGGCCAAAAGAGCCTACTTGCCGGTACCCGTCGGGGTGTATGTATCGCACTGCCTATAGTAGGCTTGATCATAATTCGTGCGGGAATCGGCATCGCAAGACACCCTCACCGTGTAACTCTTGTGGCGCCGAGTAGCGGGCGCAGCATGATGGAGGACTCTCGCTTCCAGAATGAGGCGCGGTCTATTGGCCACAAGAGCTTCAGCCTGCTGTCATCTTGGGCACTCCAACTTCGATGTTGGGCAGCGATGCAGACTATGTGATCAATAGAGATCATGCTCGCTTCTCAATGGTAGTTGCAGTGCTCGTATACATATAGCGTGATTGATGCGTCGTGATGCGTGCGAATCCCGCGGGAACGCCTTGGAACTTGGGGACGCGTCATGACCCCGTGAGCTCTAGTCAGCCTTCCAGAGCACTGTGGAAATCTAACACGAGAGCATCGAAAGGACGCAATTGTCGATATCAGAAGTGAGGCATGTAGCTAGTGGCTGGTAGCTGGTGACATGGAGGGTGGAACGATCAGAGGGGCTGAAGGCATGGAAGGAACGACAGGCACCTGGGAAGACAACACTAGTCCAGAATCGGCTAGCCTCAAATCGAGCCGCAACACACATGACCCCGGGAAGCCTCTTGCCGTTTTCCACCACGCAACGAGCAACCATCTTTACGATTGTTGCTGCGCAGTGCATATCATAGGTTTGATTTGAGTCGTTGTCTGAGTCTTCCACAGTAACAACCCACGCGCGTTGCTCACAGCGAAAGTGGCCACGATGTGCTCCAGGCGCTTTTCATGGGCCACCCACTGTCTGCGTGATAGCCAAATGGGTGCAGCAGATTCGCCAGATACATCAAGATATGGTACCGCTGATACCACACTCACCTCGCTTCCAATATATTATCAAAGACGCACACAAAATATTTTATCTAACATCAATCGTCTGCATCATGCTGACTTTCCAGCGAACCGCACATTCCCTTATCTGTCCAGAATACACATCCATAACGACCGTCGAAGCGAACATGGAATCCTTTAGATTTCTCGATCTACCCAAAGAGGTCCGACTAATAGTCTATGAGCAACTTCCAGTCGTCCGGCGACACACCACAGTACAAATCGACTACGATCATCCCCGCGAGTGCTACGGCACTCTTGTCTACCACGTGCTTTCTCTCACCATTTTACGGGTTTCAAAGATGATTCACCAAGAAGCTTACGCCATAGTGAAGCCCAGACTGTACGACATACTCTTACAACCACCTCGAGTCATTATCCACGCCCCATTCTTTATCGAAATCGCACACGACTTTTCCCACTGGTTGAATTATCTAGAGAATGCAATAGGCATGCCAGAATCCAGCCATCCTGCACTCCTTCAGTGGGCCCAGCATGTCTCTCTCTATTATGGAAGCATGAACGACCACCCCTTTCTCGTTCGGTTTGCTAAAGACAATCCATCAGCACCAAGAAAGACAACACGAATTCAGCTCTTGATCAACCAGCCGGGAAACGTATCCAGGATTCGCAGATCACTTGTTGGGAGAAACGATCCTTTACACCATATCCTCGCGGAATTTCTGGAACAACAGCTCAATGTCAACTACCCCAATGACAGGGTGGATCTATGTCTTATGGGGGCCAGTGTGCGGAAAACTTCGCTCGGTTCAGATGTGGGTAACTACAGTTCTCAGCACTTGCAGGACGAGCTTTCTGCTGCTTACAGGAGAGCACGTATGCGTAATCGAGGCAAAGTCGTGGAGCTGGCAGATTGGGAAAACGATTGGGAGGCAACGCCCGAAAACAGGATGTAGCCTGCCGTAGGACCAGATTCATATTCGCTTTTCGACGGCCGAAGCATCACCAACCCTATAACCAAACTTGAGCAAGTCTT